TGCCCAAGAACCTTGAAGCAAGGCAGATCTCTGCGCACGATCACAAATTCCAGTTGCCCAATCGAGCGCTAAAACGTCGAGACAGGACTGAAGAGCGCCTCCTGTCGCAAGCTTTCTCTTTGCTTCGATGCTTATCGCTGGAAACTTGCAACACCCCGAAAAACAATGTTGTCTTATCAGCCAGCAAAAAAAAAAACAGGGGAGGAGGGTTTTCCGCAGGGGAAAGCGCCTTGACAACACCCCTGCTAAGGCCGCGGAAATACTCCTCGTATTCGCACTCATATCGCGCATTATCAATAATGTGCAATGCTACAGCTCATAAAATGCAGCCAGCAAAAATATTAAATATTTTACGCTGACCAAGGAGAGGACTGAACCGAACTGCAGCTCGGGATCGGCCGGGATCGGATCGGATCGGATGGCTTTTTGCCTTGATCAGGTGCCGCCAAGGTAGATCCCCAGCGAACACTTAGCAAAGCAAAGCTCGGACAACAGATGAGAGGCTCCTGCAAAAGGCACTGAGAGAAAATCAGAGCTTAAATTTATTAAAATTTATTTAAAATAATTAGCGTAGAATTTGTTAAGCTTAATTAGAAAGCAGAGCTGAAAATTAAGCAGCTTTGTCATCACAAATTTCACGCCTTTTAAGAGCTGACACCACTCTCTTTGTTTGCTTGCCAATCATTATTAATTTAATGATTTTGCTCATTTAGCATATTTACAAATGAATTAATTAAATGATGATGGGATTTATTAATGACTTTTTTTGGGTAAAAAAAGACTATAAAGAGTTTTTTAGGAAATGTTTACTAAATTTAGAAATATTTTTTATATGATTTTAATAGTTGAGAATTCGTTATTAGGATATTAAATTCAACTCCCCTACTAAAACTTGAAAATATTTATAAGTTTTCATATATTTTCTCTCTGTTCAGATGATGCTCAAGAAGATTCCCCCTGCTCGCTTCCGATAACCAGGACGAAGACGATCCCGATGCGTGCGGTGCGATAAGCAACCGATGCAAAACCATTAATTAGGAGCTGCAGATACCTGGTGTAGTGTGTAGTGTGTGTACCTGTGGAAGTGCCCTCTCTCTCTCTCAGTAACTCTGCTCTCTGTTCGGTCGAAATTAAGGCTTTAATCGTGCATGAAAATACGTGAAACTTACGCGTCTTCGGGGACTTCCCCTGCTCCCTACTTCCCTCACAGCCTCATCGTCGTCAGATGCAACGTGATCGCGATAAGATAAACTGCATACAAATTTGCTTTTATGCGGAGTCAGGGTTTGCCGATGCTTTGGGGGGGATCTCAGGGATGTGAGGCAGCTTTGGGGCGAAGTGAAAATGATTATTATTATTTATGCAGGGTATCAAATATTCCCTCAACGCGTGTGTCAACGGGCCGGTGTCTGTCATTTATTTCAATGAAAACAATCAGCACTGACTGGCTGCCCGGGACCAGGCCCAGGCCCAGGCCCGCTCTTGTGGGCTCATTAATCGGCCGGCAATATGTCAATGTCGCGGCACTACGTCGTATATATCTTCACCTTGGTCCCCGCAAAACCCAGGCTCTCCTTCGGTTGTCGATGGGCCTGATGATGACGATGATGACGATGATGATGGGAATAATGATGATGATGATGATGACGGGGTGGGTCGTCGACCATAAACCTAAACCCATTTTCCATTTGCAATTTCACAGTTGCATATGAGCGTTTGGCAGCGCAAATTATCGAAGGTAACTGTAAAAAATTTATTAAATAAAGAGGGTTTGACCGAATAGAAATTACTCTATGGGGAAATATAAAAAATTAAGTTAAACTGTTATTTATTTACCCGAGAATATACAAATTGTCCCTTAAAAATTCCTAAAACTATGATTAATCAATTAAATTCTTTTGAAAACCCTCCCTCCTCTTAGCACATTTTTTACGGTTTACTACTATTAATTTCCAAACGATAAATCAAACCAAATTCCCCGATTTCCAACTGTGAAAAGACCAATTTTCCGACTAAAGCATGGCAATGGCCACAAAATGAAATACATCCCCGGCATGAAGAGTATTTCCACATGGCGATTATTTCCCTCCACCTCTGCCTGATTGTTTTATACTCTGTTCCTGCTACTCCCCTGCTTGTCTGTCTATCCCCTCACCAAATTGGCATTACTTCGGCTAAAAACCCCTCCTCACCCTCACGATCCTCCCGCCATGAACGAAAATCGCCGGCGACTATCTCTTTGCATCTGCGTTGAAGCGCGAAAATTGCAAACCAATGTTGTTTTGACAATGTGCAATAATTTGTAGTCAATTTTATGTGTCTACCGTCGATTCGGTCGGTTCAGGTCCGCTTGTTTCGGAAAATCCTCCCCTCCATCCTTCTGGTTACTTCACTGCCCGCGGCACAATTTATGGCTGGTAAATTAGCAAGAAATGGAAATTAAGAAAAATGTTGCTTTTATTGCAAACAGTTGTAGTCGTCTTCCAATAAAAGCATATTTATTTATACACAGGCCCAGTGATCGGGAACTGGGAACCTGAAAGCGCTGAGGGGACCAGACCAGAGACTTTTACGACCCTCGATTCGTTTGGAGTCTAATGAGGCAAGTGGTGGGTGCAATGATTGGGTGGCTACCTAATTGACGGCTGCTCGGCGGTTGCACATGGGAAAAATATATTTCTGCCGCCTCCTAATGAGATTGCCTCTTCGATTTTCCTTCTGTTTTCTTTTTTTTTTTTCTCTCTATGGCGTTACCTCCTTTCCCTTTCAACCTTTGATAGATGGCCAAAAAGTTCAGACTGATGGCTCTGGCATTAGCACTAAGCTTCAGCCGGGGCCAAGCACTTTGATTTGACTTTGGGCACCGAAAATCGAAAGAAAAAAAAGCACCGAAACGAGAACCAGAAAATGCGAGAGCGAATAAAAAAACTTCTAAACTGCAGTCAGGGAAATTTTTGATATGGGTTTTCGGCCAAGAAGCAAACCTGTGTTGGGAGGAGTCACAGGAGCGGTTTGGAGGCTCAAAGGGTAGGCTTTTATTGGGAATTTACAGCAAGGGGTAAAATTTTAGCTTAGAAAGAATCTTTAAAATATACAAAAAGAATAGCAGTTACTTAGATTTAATATTATTATTCAATTATTAAACAGGTATTTATTCTATTATTATTTACAAGCTTTTAAATATTTAAAAAATATTTTGAAAAATATATTTAATCCAGAAAATGTTAAAAAATTCCACCCCCATTCTATGACTACCCCCCTGATTTTAGCTTCTGTTAAAGCCCAAGTTCTGCGAGGGCAATCTATAAATAAAAGGCATCTCTTTTGACACTAAACTGACTTGTAAACCGAAATATTTACGTCGACTTCTTTTCGCTGCGTATGCCAAATGACAGACGGAACCCTCCAAAGACGACCCCCCCAATCCGAGGGTCTCTAAAAAAAAAGGAAACCCCGACCCCAAACGGGCCTCTAAACTTTCCTTACCCGAAAGGAAACAACGTGAACAAAAAAATTCAATTGAAAGTTTGCCTCTTGGATTGGCGGTGTCTGCACCGTCTCCTCCGTTCCCACTTCAACTCATCCGTTACTTTGTAACAAATCCCACAGGCAAAATTGATAAAATAAAGGAAAAAGGGGGAACAGATATATGTGGATGTGGGATGTGGGCTGTACGTTAGATATATATGTGCCAGCGGGTTCGGAGAAAGTAAAAGCAAAGAAAAGTTTTTAATATTTGACGTGTTTTTTTGCAAAGTTTTCTAGGTTTTCGTTTTCCGTTTCGCACCGCATCGAGATGAGGGAAAAGAAAATATTGAAAAGGGTTTAAGTCCCGGGCTTGAACTTCTCCGCTGGTTAGGCCACAGACATGTGTGTATCCACCAGATACAATTTCCCTTGATTCCCATTCCCGAATCCCCGCATTCTAAAGTTGCACATCAAAGGCTGCTGCTGCTGCTGCTGGGAGCCAGTTTGCCTCGCTAATGATTGATTGTAAAATTCGCTAATTTAAGCAATGCGAATTTATGTTTCGGCGGCGGCGGTGGGGGCCCCATCAATTTTATTGCGCATTTAATTGATCATAAAAATTATTCATTCATCGGGAGCTTCAGCGAACTCGTTTCCAGCCAGCCAGCAGCGAAAAATGCCAACTGTGGTGGGGCTCATTGAGTCAAATAAAGGCAGCATGACTACACGATGGCCAGGCCAGCGATTTCAAAGATGAGATATACGACTGCCATATAGATATCTTTAAAATATGCATGGGAAGTAGATATCGTCGCATAAATACCAAAGGCGCTGGCGGAGGGGTTTTTCTCAGTTTAAAATTAATTCAAATGGAGCAATCGTGGGATGTGCTTCGATGAGTGACTGTGTGTGTGGTAAGTGTGGCGCGAGGTTGGGCTGGAGAGTTTTTTTAGAACCTCAGAAAGTGTGGAAATTGTCAGAAGAAAATTAGATATTTTTAAGGGTTTTTATTTAAGAAGTAAACATAAAATAAATCTAGAAAACTCTGGGTTTTGATTTAATATAAAAAAATCCTAAAAGCAAAATACCTTATAAAGTACAGTTTTCTCTATTAAAATAAAATCAATGTAAGCTAAAAAAAATATATTTAAAAATATAGTTATTAACATGTTTCAACCATGAATTTTTCCATTTTTAAACCTCAATCTTTCTTGCATCCGTCATGGAATGGCCAAAGCGCTTTTAATGTTTATCTTGCGGATTTTTTTCGGACGTAATAGAACACCGCTCTGACATAAACAAAACCAGAGCTAAAACAAAACCCAATAGTGCTGTGAAAATGTAGAAAAAGCCAAGAGAAATACGGCTGCTGGCATTGGAATTCGCAGTCCGTATCAAGAATCCATATCAAATGTCAAGGCGAGATAGTTTATGGCTTATCAGCGGCAGACGAAAAAATAACAATAACAATTCTGCACAAGTCCCGGCCAGGCTGTGGGAATGTGAATAAAAACTCGGAGTATGTTTTGATTATCAATTTTTTGTCATTTATATATTTTTGTGATTCGGTTTTTCTTTTCGTTTTTTTTTTCTTGTTGCTATAAACTAGAAAACATAAAGTTACAAAATAAAATACATATTCATATATGTGCTGTCCGAATGGTTACAGTATTTACAACAAGGGGGGTGGGGGGGCGAGTAAATCTTAATAAAAAGTTATGCATATTTATATATAGTACACATGTAATCAGTCGATTTATGTTTTCAATTTTGCATGATTCGTGTTGTTACAATTGGTTTTTTGTTTTTTTTTTTTAAATGTATTTTTGCGTGAGCATACAGTCCATTTGTTTAAATTATTTACAATATTTTGATAATTTTCATAGAATTAATATGGCTGTATCTGGTAGGCGGGGGCTGTGGTGGATTCGGATTCAATTTATTAACTTACAAAATACACTAACTAATGAGGATAAGCTTAGGGCTAGACATAGGTTGGTAGGAAAATTGGTAATTCGTCTTAATAAATTAATTAGCGCTTAATGCTAAAACAAAATATCACAATGATTAAACAGATTAACGTACGATTAACATTTAACTTATTTACATTTAACTCTGGCACTCTGGCTCAGTGTAGAGTGTTTTGTTTCTTTACTTTGTTAACTAGTTTTCTGGTTTCTTGCTTTTGGAATGCATTTTCAAATTGGCAAGACAGTGGAGCTGGAGATGGAGATGGAGTCTAGTGAAAAAAAAGAATAGAGAATTGGGAAAGAGAGGGCGTAACACACAACCTGGTAGATTTTAATCGCCAAAGAAGACCCAAACTAATCTGTACAGCTCTGTGTTCCATTCGGTTGTTGCTGTTTTCATGTTCCTCTTCCTTTTCTGGCCTTGTCGATTTTGGCCAAAACACAATTTTTGGGGGCCGAAAAACCAGCACAGCCAAGGCACACACGTGCTGATCTCTCTCCTACGCCTTTCCTTGGCTTGCTCTGGGACTTTCTCGGTTTCAAGTTTCTGCAGCAAGGTCAGCCAGCAGCAGCACTTTTCACTTTGGGAAATTCTGACTACCTTCCTCCTAATCTCTGACTAGCTAACTTGAAAAAAAAGAAAGCCTTGTTTTCCCAATCAAATCTAGACATGGCGTGATCTTAGGAAATGTTTCCAGAATATTTTTCGCAACATCTACCTTATCTTCTCAAATTAACTGGCATTAATTGTTACCTGTAAGTTGGTTTTATCAGAGTCAAATCCTCTTAACAATTGTTTTTCTTTCTCATACACAAACGCATGCAGGGGAAAATGTTTCCATCTATTTTCCTTTTCCACCATTGATTAGCACATGTAATTGTGGCTCAAAGGGGGGAGAGAAAAAGCAGATAACAAAAACCTAAAACAAAACCAATTTTAGCCAGTGTCTGTAGACGGTCTGGGTTGTCTAACGTCTAAGGTCTGCTTTTTGTTACAATTTTCCTTTGGCCAGACATGAGCTCTGTGATGTTTTGCGTTTGCCTCACAGTCACAGTCACAGATACAGATACATCTGCAGCTACAGCTACAGCTGCTGCAGATACAGATACACGGGTGTATCTTCTACACACGTCGGGCTTGTTATAGCATAATGCAGCAGTTAAGATGAACGTAACGACTGAACGTTGCAAACAGGGAAAACGAGGGAAAAACAACAGCAACAACAAAAAATGCTGGAAAACGACAAAATAAAGGAGAAAAATAAGGAGGAACGAAATGAACAGACAAAAAAAAAATACAAAAAACCAAAGGAAATACTTTTGGGCCTGAGCTGCCTTTTGTTGCTGACTGACTGGTTGGTGTTGTGGCTACACAGAAATTAATCTATGAATCTATCTTGGCCAGAAATAAATATATCAAAATATTAATTAGGAATTTTCTAAATAAAGCTGACCCTTTTGAGCTAAAAAATATTTAATTTATAACCTGAAATATCTTAAATTTCTTTCTCTGTAGTTGCTGCTCGGTGTGTTGCATGCAACATCAATTTTCTGAATCTAGCTGCGAGCCAGGAAACTGAAAATAGCTGGCCGTAAGAAAACAGAACAGGGCCAACAACAAACAACAATTGCCTGGCTCGCCAGCTATTTTACTGTTGTCTTTTGTTGCTGTTGTTGTTGCTGCTGGTTCTGGGTTCTTTCCCCACTCGATTTTTCTTTTACTTTTGCTATTTTAACATGTAACTAGGCTTTTATCGCTAAACGCTCGCATTTGCATATTGAATGCAATTCCCCTTTTTTTTTTGTAATTTTTTTTTTGTTGAAACCCGAGGAAGTTAAACTTGTTTTCTTCGTTTTTTGAGGCTAAGCAAATGGTCTGCAGATATTCTAGATCACCTTTCATAACTCAACAAGATCTTACGGCGGTCAGGGTTGTGCTCTTTCTCTATGTTTTTATGGACAAAAAATGTTAAGGTCATCGTAAAAATAAATTTAAATTATTCACCTCAAAAATATAGTTTAGAAAACCATCTCCAGCTCTCCTGACCTTGTCTTTAACCATTTTTTTTTTACCTCTACTTAACTCTAAAACCCCACTCACATGTGCAGATTTCTAGACGCCGGCGTTGGCTGTGTTGGCGGCAGGGGCAGGCTCTGCTGCTGGATGCCACCCGCCAGGGGTATCATCTGGGGATGCCCTCCACTGCCACCCACCGAACCGCCACCCATCAGCAAGGCCGCCTGCTGCTGCTGCTGTTGCGTGGTGTTGTTATTTCCGCGAAGTTGCTGCTGTTGCTGCTGCTGCTGCTGCTGTTGTTGATGCAACGATGGCTGCCGGCGGAAGCTGCCCGGCTGCTGGGGCGGCGGTGGCAACATAAACTGCTGCTGGTGGTGGTGCACCTGGTGGGGAAGTGGCATCGCCTGCTGGTGGACATGATGGTGATGGTGGTAAGCCGCATGGTTGATCGGCACATGGCAACTTTGGCCTCCGGCGCCGTTGGGGGAGCGCTGCGACGACGACACATCCGGCAGGGCAAATCGCAGTTTCTGCCAGAAGAGCTTGTCGCCCCACTGCAAATACGTGTTGGTCTTCAGATACAGGCGTAGATCCGGGTCCAGCTCCTTCTGCGGCACCTCGCCCAGGACAATGACTATCAATCGGCGGCGTCGATCGCGCAAAACCGACTGGTGAGCGGACTTGAACTCGAAGCGACACCACTCCGACTTGATGAAGTTCTCGCTGACCACCATGATGGTGCGACGGCTGCTGTCGATGGCCTGGACAATGGTCTCCGGCAGGTAGCCGCCCACGGGGAAGTCGCGCTGGTGCAGGCAGAGCTTGTACCGCTGGGCACCCATCTCCAGCATCGGAGCCAGCTCCTCGTTGACAAACAGCTCATCCTTCGAGGAGTACGAGACAAAGGCATCGAAGAGCTTCTCCCGCTCGTTCTTGTCCACATCCTTCTGGGCATTGTAGAAGAGCCTTACGCCGAAGCGCGAGTGACACCAAACGCGCATCTCCTGGCGGAAAATAAACACCAGCAGGGTGCAGATCATGACGAATATAAAGGCCGTAAGGATGGCCACCAGGATGGGAATGTAGTCCTGCTTCGGCGGCTGATTCAAGATCATCTTCGTGGAGGTGGCATTCGAGGCATTCTCGCCGCCAGCCTGCTCCGCAAAGTCGTAGTTGTTATCCAAACCCAAGGGCAGCGTTTGGCTGCACTGCACCACGGGCAGGGAGGTGGCCTCGGCGGACTGTGGATACACCACCATTTGCTGGGTGTTGTTGCCACTAATCGAATCGCACTTCATCTTCAGCTTGTCCTGCACATACTCGTGGCGGTTCATGTAGTCCCTCAGCTTGTCGATAAACTCGCAGTGGCAGCTCCAAGGATTACCCGCCAGCCGGAGTTCGTTGAGGTAACTGGGCAGGAAGTTCCATACAGCAAATGAGGTGATGGCATTATGGTCCAGTCGCAAGATCTTCAGGTGATACAGGTGCGTGAAGGTCAGCGTGTCAATGGTGGCGATGGCATTGTGCTGCAGATACAGTTCCTGGAGATTGTCCAGGCCCTGGAATTCGTTGCCATTGAGAGCCTTCAGCTGGTTGCTCTGCAGCTGGAGAACCTCCAGCTCCAGCAGGCCGTAGAAGGTGCGATTGTGGAGCACCTCGATACGGGAGTGATTCAGATGCAGAACCTTTAGCCGCTTGCGACCGATGAAGGCGTGACTCTGCAGCTCCCGGAAGTTGTTTCCGTCGAGATACAGCTGGGTGGCATCCATGGGTATGTGGGAGGGCAGGGCCTGCTCGTAGGTGGCCCGGCTGCAGTCCACAACGTTTGAGGTCCAGGACTGATCATGGTAGCAAGAGCACCTATCCGGGCACTCCATTTTGCAGTCGCAGGCCTGGAAGTCGCAGCAATGACACAAAGCAAAGCAATGCGAGGCGTATTTGCAGAGGAAGTCATCCGAACGCGCCTCGATCAGGGAGACGTGCGAGGAACCACGGGCATAGGCCAGGCGGCAATGGATCTGGTCCAGATCCATCAGCTGGGGCTGAGTGCGCGACTCCCGGTTAACCTTTTGCAACCAATCCAGATTGCAGTCGCACTCGTAGGCGTTGTGGCCAATGTAGAACTCGGGGATCTCCCGATCCTCGGCTATGGGCGACAGTCGCAGGGCATTGGGCTCCAAGGTGGTCAGGCTATTCCTCACCAGATCTACTCTGGTCAAGTTGGGTTTCTTGAAGAAGGTGTATGGCTGGATCTTGGATATCTGGTTGTCGTTCAGGTAAAGCACCTCCACGCTGTTTGGTATAGAACTGGCTGTGATCTCCGTCAGCATATTGTAGCTGGCATCGAAGGTACTCAGGCTGAGCTCGCTCTCGATCTCAAAGTAGTTGCCCAACTGGGCAATCCTATTGGCCCTCACATCCAGCCACTGCAGGCCGATGGGTATGTGCGAATAGTCGAACTTTTCCAGGCGATTTCCAGAGATGTTTAGCCACACTAGATTGGGCAGCTCGGTGAACAGTCCCGCAATGGACTTGAGTTGATTGCCATCCAAACGGATGGCCTGCAGCTGGGTGTTCCTCTGGAGAGAGCCCGCCTCGATGGACTTTAGCTTATTTCCAGAGAGGTTGAGGATCTGCAGGGAGCTCATTCGATCGAAGACTCCTCGCCGGATCTGTGTCAGGGAGTTCTCCGTCATCCGCAGACCATACAGATTCTCCAGCTGGGTGATGCTCGTATCCTCAATCTGGCTGATCATGTTCTCGCCCACATCCAATGTCTTGAGCAGGGGCACATGGGCCAGAGCCTCGGGCACTGTCTTCAGTTTGTTGTCATTCAAATGCAGATCCTGCAGCCGACTGCAGTTCATGAGGGACTTGTGGTCCAGCCTGGATATCCTGTTAAAGTCCAGGGAGAGCACCATTAGATTGTTTAGACCCTGCAGTGTGTTCTGCTCGATAGTTGAAATGCGATTGCGGGAGAGGATCAGGGTGTGCAGATTGGTAAGATCACCAAAGATCCCCGTCGGCAGCTGGTCAATATAGTTGCCCTCCAATTTCAGGATCTGCAGACTTGTCAGGGGCCTAAAAATGTGCGCCTCCAGGCGACTGATCTTGTTGGCCGAAAGGTCGAGCATCATGAGCCGCTTGAGACCCACAAATGTGGCTGCATTGACCCACTGGGAGTTGAGTTCATTGCTGGCCAAGTCAAGAATCAGGAGCTCGGCCAGATCACTGAAGATGCCCGGAGCCAAGACATTGATGGAGTTATTCCTCAGATAGATCTCCTGCAGCTGCTTGGTCTCTGCGAAGAGTTCCGGCGGCAGCGAGGACAGGCGATTCGCCGACAGATCCACCACTTTCAGGGATAGCAGACCCTCAAAGGCGCGATCCGCCAGGAAGCTCATGCTGTTCTTGGCCATATTCAAATGGGTCAAGCGTCCCAGGGCCGACAACATGGCCGTGGGCAGGCTGACCATCTTATTTGCACTGAGATCCAGACTCTGCAAAGTGGAGCCGCAGACGCGGGCCTTCCTGGAGCTCAGCGAGGCGCTGAAGTAGAAGTTGCTGATGTCCTGGATCTTGTTGTAGGATGCATTGAGATGCTGCAGCGACTTGAGTGGGCAAACCATGCCGTCCGGTATCAGCCAGATGTTGTTCAGGCTGAGATCCAGCCGCTCCAGCTGCCGGAACTCCACGAAGCTGTTGGAGGCCATCTCCAGCGACATCGTCGACCAGTCGCCGTTGTGTGTGCGAATGGTGAGATTCCTCAGCTCGTGCAGGCCCCGGAAGGAGCCGTCTGTGAGATTGCCCAGCTTGCAGTACTCGATGGTTAGATCCCGCAGCTCCACCAGCGACCGGAAGCTGTCCGGACTGAGGCTGCTCTGGAAGAACAGGGCATCGTTGCACTCCAAACGCAGGCGCACCGTATTGTGCGGCTGTATAACACTGAAGTTGGTATTCTCCAGCTCCGAATTGATGGTTCTCAAGTGGCACACCAGGGTGATGTCGTGCTCCCCGCCGCCGGACCAGCGGCACTCATCGGGAGCCTGGTACAACACCGTCTTACTCAGGGCCGCCCCGAAGATGGGCATCACCCAGGTGGCTATGAGGACGTAGAGCATGTGACTGGTGGCCAGCATCTTGGTGATGCGGACTTGAAATTAGCTTCTTGCGGGGATTTCGGGCGGGGGCTTCTTCTCTCGATTCGACGATCTCTCTCACACACTCACACTTCCCTTTCTCCCGTCTCTATTTCTCGCCCATTTTTGTGTTTTGCGTTTTTATTTTAGATTTTTGGTTTCAAATTAAATTAAAATCACTTTTCACACATCACCACATATCAGATTTTGTAATGCTTAATGCCTTTTTTTATCTAATACGATTTTCTTGTTTTTCCCGCTGGCGCTATTAATTTCTTTCGTGCTTTTATGTTTAAATTTTTTCGATTTCTCGTCGGTTTTCTCAATATCTGTTTTAGTTTCGCGTTGACCGTAATCCAAGTGGGGGGTAGCGATAGCGCGTTTGATAAATTTCTGTGTTCTAAATTTTCTCGAGGCGATACTTCTGATTTTTTTTTTACTATTTCTCTTTCGGGTCCGCTCAACGACAGTCGCGCGTCCGCTCGGCTCGAAGTCAATTTTAAAACTGATCGTTCTCCGTGCCGCTCAGTCAGCAGCAAGTGCCGCACTCAATCGAGTAGGTGGCCGTTGCAAGACTGAGTGAATATGGATACAGTGAAAAAAATTAATCCTTAGTGAAATAAATGAGTCTAAAATAAATTTAAGATTTCTATTTAAATCAGTTTCTAGTCAAAAAATATATATATTTGTCTATAAAGTAATCCTAAAAACTATTTTTCAATGCTAAATCATTAGATTTCTATCAAAATACATTAAATGTAATTTAATAATTTGTTAAATAAAAATTTCATATTTTAGACTGTTACTTAAAGTCGAAAAATGTATTTTTATGTCTTTCACATAATTTATTTACATCACTTTTTTTGTTATAATTATTAAATTTTGAAAAATACATTTTCTCTAATAGTAAAAACTAGTAAGGAGGTTCAATGATTAACAATTACCGTGGGTAAAAAATATGTTTTAATATAAATAACATATTTAAATAAATTAAGATACATTTTCATTGGTTTTTCATTTTTATTTTTAATGATTTATCTATAGATCAATATAAATAAATATTTAAATTAATTTCCAGCGCTATTAATGAATTCCAAAAAATTCTTTAAAATATATAATCCAATTTTATTATTAACCACTATTTTTCTCCCCGTGTAAGTGAGAGCAACTGAGTGAAAACCTACTCGGTGAGCGCGCACCCATTGAGCACGCACACAGAACCGAGAACTAGAGCGAGAGATCGATGAGGCAAAGAGGATAAAGTAAACAAAGCTATGCAATGCAAACGTAAAACGCAAACGCAACGCACGATAATAGCCCACAGTGCACAGTGGGCTGCACAGTCAAGCAGGTAGAATTGGAAACGAATGACAGATGCGAAATAAGGAAATGAGATCGCGGGAGATGGTCGGCAGGTGAGTTTTGGCTCACAGAAACATGTGTAATGTTTTCAAGTAGAAATCTGCAACATTTGAGGGTCAAGGCAGAAATTAGTAACATGATATGGTTCGAGATATAGATCAAAGGGGTCCGCCGGGATCTGATAAAGAGTTTTTCCCTAGGGAAGCAGGAAGAAGGCAAGGTAATATTACGAGAGCAAGTGTAATACAATAATCCTCAAGGATGACATATTGAGGAGATTAAAACCTTTTTTTTTTTAAAATCTAGGTAAACTTTTTAGAGTAATTTTAAATGGTTTATCTAAGCTAAAAAAACGTAAAAAAAATAGTTGGATATAAAACGTATACATAATAATTTTTATTCAAACCCATAATATCACGTATACGCCAGATAAACTTGAGACATTTTTATATAAGTAAATGAAAAATGTAGTTAATGTTAAAATGTTAAAAAAAACTCATTAAGAATCTCTACAAGACAGCTATAAAATTTCCTATATGACTTCCGGTGGTAAATTTCAATTCAAATCGAATTAGCCAACTTGTCACGCCAAAGGGCCTTGATTTTGAAACAAAAACTCGGCAAGCCCACCAGAGATCCTCCTATCCTCACCCACAGCACCTGGCACCTTGCTGCTTTATGGGCCCACTGTGCGGCACCGTGGGCACCTAGCCACCCCGCCACCCGGCCTCCGCCTGTCGGTTCCGCTGAGCCTCAAAGCGGAGCAAGCAATTCCAATGAGACATTGACACTCGTCACACCGGTTAGACGAGTTTTCCGCTCGCTCTCTTTCTCTCAGCGGAAGACTCTCCATATTGAGTGACTTTTCGTATTCAGCGGATGAGAGTTTTCAGCATTGGGAGAGTGGATTTATTTGCTGAATAAGCCGGAATTGAGTGCAAGTGGCTGGCTGATCTGCGGCTTTTCTTTGCTTCGCCTTGCAGACAGCCACAAAAAACTGAACAGAAAAAAAAACTGCGGGGAATAATCATAAAAAATTATTGAAATCAATTGTTAATTCAGCCAATGTCAGTTTGATACACACGCATACATACACGCAAAGTCGAGCTCGAACCGACAAAAAATTGACTGATTTTTCTTGATTTATGAGAGCAGCCTGAAGTTGTTGCTATTTCCACTTCTTTCGGACCGGCTGGCAATCGAGATTTCTTGAGGAGATCTCGGTCTGAGTTTGGGGCTTACTCATTACGACAAGGTGGCCATAAGGCAATGTGGCTCTGGCTCTGGCTCAGCCGCAGATGGAGTCTGAATCTTGTATTTTTTTCGCATGATCTCTGGCTTGGCATATGTTGTAACCGCACTTTCAAACTTTCCCAAAAAATGTATATAAATCGCTGAAAGCGAGCAAAACGAATCGCTGAACTGAGCTATAAAGGTATATAGACCAGAACATGGACAGTTAAGGTGGGATTAATAAGAATAAATCCGAAAATAAATTCTAATTTAATTAAATATATGCTGGTGATGATATGATGACTTAAAGTTTATTTTGATCTAACTAATCAGTACTTTATTTAGCTAAAGTTGCAAGTTCAAAGTTTCAGCATAGATATCTTTCCCTTGTTTTTATTTTCCCTAAAATACCCTCTCAAAGTTGACAAAATAAAACCCCTCGAGAGCTAAGCCCTTGATTTACTCTCCTATTATTTCGATCGCAACTGTATATTACTCTCTGGCAAGTTGTAGTTGTACCTGTCGACGCCCGTTGAGTCGACAGGTGCTGATTAACCAAACACATCCCAGGCGATGCGTATCAGTCAGCCAGTTAGCCAAGCAGCTTGTTTGGCCACGTTGGAATGGGATGTGAGATCTCTCCCTTTTTTCCCGGGGCCCTGTTCTCAGGAAAACCCGCACCCAAGCCTCCGTCTGAGCAAACTGCAGGTAGCCTACAAATTGTGTTGAAAGTTGACCGTGCAAACATCGTCTTTTGGCCCTCTCACCTCATCTTATTTCTCCTCTGGATTGGGATTGGAATTGGAATTGGGATCGGGATATCGTCGGGCTCATCCTTGGTCCTCAGGTAAACAGCAGCTCAACAGATTGGTTGCCAAGGGAGAAGGAGGAAGAGGAGCGATATCTTTGGCTAGGATTTTGTTACAATCCTCGCTCAATTGTTTGTTCCTGCCTTGTACCTTTCTTTCTTTCATTCTTTCTCTCCCCGCTCTTATGATTTTCTTTATCGCGTCAGATCGATCGATCAGGCCAGTTGGTGTAAGCCAGGAAGTGCCTGGGTATAGAAAGAATTGGCTTAGTCGTTCGAATTGCACAATATGTTGCAGTCCTGACAGGGAAATGCACTTGAAGTAATTTTTTTGAATTTATTTTTAGATGTGAATTATAATAGAAAATAGATTGAAGTAATATTTAGATTTTTTGATTCATTTAAAATATTTTCTTTCAATTTGTAAAATACTTAAAATTAAAAATAAGTTGAACTTTATCATAATAGCCCAAAATATGTTCTCTTTAAATTTTTCCTCTTACAATAAATTTTCTTAAAATATTTTCTCATAAATTTTAAAGTACCATTTTTAATCCTAAAACTCTCGTTTATTTCCTAAATATATTCACACTCTCTAACTTATATTTCTCCTAGTGTACACCCATCTCAAAGCATTGTTATTTCCAGGATCCGTAACCGTATATGAGGGGCGGTCCTGCCTGCATTGATTTGATTTGATTAGATTAGTTGAGTGCCTGTGAGCGGAGTTGGGGGACAACATTTCCCTACGATGACTGATCGTTCTCGATTCTCTTTCATTTTCATTTTCATTTGCGCAAATTATTTTTCTTTGTAATCGTTTCGCTTGTCTTGGGTTGCCAAAGACGTGTATGGCTTGGGTATCTGTATCTTGTGGGTGCTGGGCGCTTATACGAGCATTGCTCATTGGGTCACAGTCACATGAGTCACGGGCAATGATTCTTTTGTAGATACCCGTACTGTATATATTTTTTTCTTTGCGCCAGCTGCCGCTTGCGAAAAATTTCGTCTGTTTTGTTGTCTTGTAATTGGAATTGCTTTTTTTTATTTGTCCGGAGACAATGACCGCTTGAAGGGACGCCCCCGGTAAAGGGAGAATGGAAAACCCTTAAGAGTGGGATTAGGATATAGAATTCCTCCATATGTTGAAAAGATCTTCTCCTGGAGGAACTTCCTGTTTTGCTTACATTACTGTAGGTATATTTGCGGATCTTAATGAAGGGATTGAATGAGTTGAGAAACAGGTGGCAGCTGGATGAGATTTTATTGGGTAAGCTTAGCTAATTTTTTGAAAAAGAAATACCTAGACAAATAGTAAATATATTTAAAGGGGAAAAACGTATAACTCAAATTAAATTTTTAAAATATTTTATACCTTTCCAAGATTTCTTTACTCTCCCAAATCTTTCTCTGTACATATTCCACAACCTTTTCTTTATACAAAAAGCATCTTCCATTATTTTCTCAAGCCAGAAAATTCCATAAACCCACTTTGGGGATATGGTGTTACCGCTGTTGAGACGCGAGGGCGTTGCAATTAAATTCCCGGGCGATGACATGTCACGGCAATCGGCGATGGCATCCGTCAAGTGTCAGCGGCAACGACGGCGGCGGCGACTTCGGCGAGCTAAGAAATCCCTCTCAGCTGCGGCTGGGTTCCGTTCCTGCTTGGGCACTGAATAAGTGTGTTTTATGTTGAATAAGTTGCCATTGTTCTTAATTATAACGCGTTGTCATGTGAGCTTGCCATTCATTCATTCACTCAGTCAGGCAGTCCCGCGACTTCGCTCCGCCGGGTCTGGCGATCCATCTCAGCTGTTCTTTACGGCTTGACGCCTAATAAAAATTAATTTAATAATCTCCAACAGAGAGACGGAGAAAGAGAGACTCCTGGGACCGAGAGGCGGCAAGTGCGGGCGAGCAGTTAACGCTTATGTAAACAAAGTCGCCGAGGATGTGTGGATATCGCCGTCGTATCTGCTGTGCAAAACATATTAATTAGCATTTCCAATTTCGTATGCATATCTCTCTTAACTATCTCGTGATGCAACGCTGCACACACAAACGATGTGGCCGCCTTAACC